GCTGAACCTTGATGCCACGCTCTTGTGAGAGCTCACAGCAGAGCCTTCCCCTTATCTGCTCCAGGAGGAATTCCTCCCCGACCCTGGGGACACCCCATGTCCCTGCTGTGACCGAGAGCACTGGCACATCCCGTCCCATGCGCCGCTGGCCGGCGAGACCTCAACCGCTGCCTGCGCTCAAGGACGGGGCTTGACTTTCCCTGGGGGTAAAGGGGATGGATGTCTGCGGGCGTCCGTCTGGGCACGCGCTCACATGGGTGCAATTCGGGGATGTCTGCGGGCGTCCGTCTGGGCACGTGCTCACATGGGTGCAATTCGGGGTTAATACGTTTTTTGCGTGTGCCTGAGAGAAAGAACCGAGCTGCGCCCAGCTGAGCCATGGTATCTCTCTCCTGAACCCATAAACTTTGCCAGGATTTTAGAGTCATTCAAGCTGACCAGATGAGAGCAGAATAAAAATATTTTCAACTCAGACCTGTCATCTTCTCTGGACTGTCAATAAATCTGTCTGGTCTGTCCTTCAGCTGAAGGTTCACTGGGAAGAGATGGCTTTTTTCTGATGTGTGGAGCTGCACACAAAAAACAAATAAACAGAAGCTTAAGAAATTTAGTAACATACAAGGTTCCATACGCACACTACATGGATTAACATTCCTCGTGCGGCTTCTCTGACCACTGCTTCTCAATACAGGAGGGTCCCATCTTTAGCAGAGAGAAAGAGAGGGAAGGCTGTTTTCTGTCTTAGCTGTTCTGCTGAGGTCCCACCAAAGGGCACCGGGGCAGGGTGCACACCACAGTGAGAGCAGAGCCCTGGCTTGCTGCTATTTCTAGTAGAAACGGACAGGAAAACTAGCAGACTGGCCAGGCTGTGCATTTTCAGTGCCAGGCTACCGTACAGAGTTTTGCAGGTGATGTGATGGGGAAGTGCTCCTCTCCAGCTTCTACTCGCAATATTCCCATCGGTGGAAGTTCAAGCATTTGCTGCATTTCAGAGGTGCAGTTTGCCCTCCAACAACCACACACCGCGGTGAGCGTCTGAGCATTTTCTCAGGCCAATTCCTAGTTCAGAATTAAAGCTACAGAAATAGCAACACTGAAAGGTGGCCAAATTTTTTGCCTGAATTGAACTCTTCCCATTTAGAAAGGTAAACAAGCTGCTCCTTCCCAAACCCCAGCGGAGCAGGGACCGGAGCCACTGCAGATACCCACGGAGCAGACCACACAGCATGGGTGACTTGTGAACACTCATGCACCAGCACACGTAAAGAGCCTCTTGCCAGAGGGGCGAACCCGGTTTGCACTTTCTTCAGCTGGAAGCGGAGGGAGCGAGGAGGGGAGGCCAGCGTCCCAGCCACAGGGTGGGAGGTTGGGGCAAGACCCTCCCTTCCCTCGGACCTGCCCCACGCCGCGGGTGAGCAGGGGCTGGCAGCCTCACCCCCCAACTCACCAGCACGTGTACGCACTCCACGGCAGAGGAGTTCACCCACCGGGCTTCAAATGTCCTGTCTGTCCCAAAATGGCACTCCAGAGCTGTCTCCTGGGAGAGAGAAGAGAAGGGCAGAATGGCTGCAACAACCGTTTTGTGCAGTTCTCCGTCTCAAAGCCGATACGGCAGGCGCCGTGTCTCACCTTGTTTCTGCCATCAGTACCCGAACTGCATTCCAAGTCAAATAGGAGATCAGAACCTGATACTGTAAATGGGGCTGGGATCTGTGCCTAATTAGTCCTGCTCTGTTACACGCTTATACATAAAACTGCTGCAGGCTGAGCATTGCACGTGGGAGCCAAGCCCCGTCTCTTGCTCTCGCCCAGCGCGCTGCTGCGAAGCGTCACGACCTGGTGTGGGGCAGCCGCTCCTGGAGCTGGGGACACACGGCACTCGCAGACCAGGGGACGTGCCTGACCCACGGCACTGGCAGACCAGGGGACGTGCCTGACCCACAGCACGTGCAGACCAGGAGACTTGCCTGACCCACGGCACTCGCAGACCAGGGGATGTGCCTGGCCGGGCTATGCTCTCGTAACCCCTGCCAGCAGGGTACCCAGGTTCCTCTGGACCGGGGATGTTCAGAGCTCATGCTGCAATGCAGACTGAGAGCCAGCGTGGTCCCAAGCCGCCTCGCCCAAACCAGACCAAAGCAGTCTGTGATTTGGGCTCAAAGCCGCCTTCTCCTCCCAATAACTTCACAGAGCAAACCCCTAATTCAAATGAGGACCCAAAGTCCTCCAAAGTGAGTACATTCAAAGGCAGATGTGCTCAGTGAACACACACGCGGCCGCGAAGGGCAGACTGGAATCTCCTCCAGTGCATCGCTCGCG